TGGTGTTATGCCTGTGGGTTCTGTCACAACTATCAAGAAAGCATTTTAGGTCAAGGTTGATATTGGAGTTTAAGGTCCTGTAGATGTAGATTGCACAGTAGTAAGTGTGGATGTACTGAACAGGGAGTAAGTTTAGATCTATGAAGAGTGGGGGGGGTGTGTTGGCAGGGATGGATTTAGTGATTATTCTTACTGCAGCTTTTTGTTGGGTTATTATTGGCTTTAGGTGTGTTGCTGCAGTTGATCCCCAAGCACAAATAGCATAGGTGAGGTATGGATAAATAAGTGAGTGGTATAGTGTGAGAAGGGCATTTTGCGGCACGTAGTATCGTATCTTGGAGAGGATCCCAACTGTTTTAGATACTTTTTTTGGTTATGTGTTGGATATGGGTGCTGAAATTCAGGTTGTGTCAAGGTATAGGCCTAGGAATTTGCCCTCATTATGTCTGGTAATTAGAGTGTTGTCGATCTTAATGTTAATTTGTGCATCTCCTGCTCTGCTACCAAAACATAATATAGTAGGTTTTGTCAGTGTTAAGCTTAAGTTTATTGGCTGTCATCAAGTCGATATTTTGATCAGCTCCTCGTTAACAATGGTGTTGAGGGTGGCAAGATTAGGGTGAGAGATTGACATAAGTCGTGTCATCAGCAAAGAGAATGGGTTTCAGGTGTTGGGATATGTTTGGAAGATCATTGATGTATATGAGGAAGAGCAGGGGACCAAGGACACTTCCCTGCGGAACTCCAGTATCAAGTGGCCGTGTTGTTGATGCTGTGTCTTTAATGGTAACATACTGATACCTATTAGTAGGTAAGATTTGAAATAAGCAAGCGCATGGCCTCTTATACCATAATGGTCAAGTTTGTGGAGTTGGATGTCGTGGTCTACTGTGTCAAAAGCTTTTCTTAGGTCAATAAAAATTCCTAGTGGATATTCCTTATTTTCCAATGCTGTGTGAAGCAGGTCTAGCATTTTTATGATTGCATCATTAGTGCTTTTATTTTTCCTAATCCAAATTGGCAGGGGTTGAGTATGCTTTGTGCTGTTATAAATGAATATAGTCTCCTGTGCACGAGTTTCTCAAGTTTTTGGGATAGCACTGGTAATTTTTGATATTGGCCTATAGTTGTTTAAGTCTGTAGGGTCACCACCTTATTTTTTTGGTGTAACCCTTGCCATCTTGAGTGTTTCGGGAAGGTGCTAGTTTCTAGTGACTTGTTAAAAATAAGAAATAGCATGCGAAAGGATATGGGCCCGCTCGCTTGTACAGTAATGGTGGGACTTTAGACAGATTCCCTGAGTTGTTTTTAAGTGACTTTATAATCTCGGTGACTTCCGAGGGCTCAGTTGGTGCAAGATAGAAGGAATTTGGGAAATTCCCTTCTAGGTAGTCCCCAGCATGGGCATTAGTATGTGGGATTTTATTGGCAAGATTAGTTCCTATGGTTGAGAAGAAGTCGTTTATCTTGTAGCTGTGTTCAGTGGGATGTAGTGGTGTTTCATTAGGTTTAGTTAGGACAATATTCTTGTTTTTTTCAGTTTGTGGGTCCCTAGAATCTGAGAGAGTGTTTTCCCAGGTCTTTTTTATATCTCCTCTAGTCTGTGAATCTACTGGAGTAGTATAGTTGTTTGGCTTTCTTTATTACTTTGGTGAGAACTGATGAATAGTGTTTAAGAATATCTTTGTGTATTAAGCCCTGTCTATATTGCTTTCTATTGGTGTTTCTTGTCAATGGATTTCAGAATGGTGCTGGTTAGCCATGGGCAACCAAGCCGTTTGTTTGTGATCTGTTTCGTTTTATAGGACAATTTTTGTTGTATAGTCTAAGAAATTTTTGTTAAGAAAAATGTCTGTCCAGTCATCAATACCTTTGGGCCCTTTGGAGAATTCTGTAGGCCAGTCAACAATCTCTAGTCCAGTTGTGAACTTCCTTATTGAGGCCTCGTCATGGAGTCTAAATGAACTTTGTTGTATTCAAGTGGGGGTTTATTTAAAGTTTGTCGGAGGAAGATAGGGTAAATGGTCTGTAGTGCTATCTGTGATTATCCCCGATTTAAGGGGGGCTATATATTGGTCCATATGTGGTCTATTATGGTTGCACTTGTCTCAGTGAGCCTGGGTTTTGGTTTTGTTATTGTTGGTATGAGAATTGTGTTGTTCATATTGTTGATGAAATCAGTTACAGGCTGATCATCTAGTAAGGCCAAGTTGATGTTGAAGTCTCCAGCTAAGAGAAGGGGTGCTTATTCATTTGTCTGTTTGTTATTAGTGACTTTAATTTTTCACTGAAATTTGGATGTTTGTGTGAGGGATCCGGTAAATGACACGATTGTTATAGGTGTCTTAAAAGGTTTTTTTTTCAGTAAAATTAGCAAAAATGTATTCCCCATATTCATCACTAAAGCAAGTGGTGTTAATACAAGATAATTGGTTAGAGTAATAGATTTCAATACCAAACCCCCAACTTGGTTTGGTCTGCAGTTGTGATTGCTGTGTATCCTGGTAGAGGGTAGATATCTATTGTGTCCTGCTTAAGCCAGTCTCAGTAAGAATAATGCAGGAGACGGGTGTCTTTAGTGATTCAAGGAGTGCCAGGAGGTCATCATAGTGTTTGCTTAAGGACCTGATGTTGTAGTTAAGTACTGATAGGCTTTTAGCATTGTTTAGGATAGTGCTGGCTTGTGATGCTGTGTAATAAAGGCAGTTACTTTCCAATAGGTTTTGATTGGGGGGTCCCGATTATGGAGGTTTAGATCAGGGTCAACGTGATCAATCATCTTCTAGGTTTAAATTATGGTTATTTATATCCTGAGTTATGTGTTGAGTTCTAGTACTGATATCTGTAGTGGTGGGAAGCTTGGATTAGTATATAGCTAGAGTATTTTGGTCATATAGAGTATAGTCACTACTACACATAATGGAGTTGATGTTGTCTATGTGTTGTGCTGGAATGAACTAAAGTACACCTAGGTATAAGCTAGTAATATAAAAATACAAATTTAAAATAGAACAAGACTCTCACTTGTAATTGCACTAAGGTCTAATATAATGACTTTTGTGGTGTCTATGTTTTGAGCTAGAATGAGCTATAGTACAACTAGATTTAATCTAATAATATAAAAATAAAAATTAAAAATAGCACCAGTCTCTCACTAGTAATTGCAATATGGTCTAATATAATGAATTTGGTATTGACTATAGTACAACTGAGTTTAATCTAATAATATAAAAAAGGCACAAGATGTTGTCTATGTGTTGTGCTGGAATGAACTAAAGTACAACTAGGTATAAGCCAGACATTTCAACCTTCTTAATTTTAAGGACCAACTCAACCATTCTGAACTTTCTGTACAGTTCAGACTTGTAAAGGAACAAGACTACTCCCTACTTTTCCTTGATATCCTTCTTATCAGGAACAATGATAAAATATAGCCTACAGAAAGCCTACCACCAAAAACCATTTAATCCACTACTATTCTCATCATTTCCTCGTAAAAAATTAAGCATGATCATAGGCTTAAAAAAAAGGCATGATCAAAGACTTTTTTTCTTTGTCCTCAGTATCTGTACCAGTGAATGTTTTCTTGATGAACATACATGAAAAGTTATTTTTAGGTCTGGAAATTTCCCAATGTGTCAACTTCTTGCATTATCACAGGCCGTAGCATAAATGAAGTACTTTTCCACACCCTATTAGTCTGTGGGTGTATAATATTTGCTGTTGTTGTAACAGCTGGTGGTGATGTCACTGCTGGTGGCATTGTTATGGCTGATGGTGTCACAGTTTGTACTGTTGTCATAGCTGGTGTTGTCATGGGTGGTTGTGTTGTCACTGGTGTTTATATTGGCATAACTGGTGCTGTTGTCACTGCTGTTGGTAGCATCATGGCTGCTGTTGCAGCTGGTGTTGGTGCTGCATGTGGTTTTCTGATACCAGTGAAAGCACCAACAGTGTCAAAATCACTGTCACTATGTCCTGCAACAGTATCATCCTGTTCAGATGTGCCATAGAACAGTGAAATAGTATAACAGGAGTTATATTATTAAATTGTAATAAGAAAAGCTTAATTATGAGATCATACATGAAGTATCTTGAGTTTCACTTCAATGTATAGAGAAATTCTCTTATAATCATCATTAAACAAAATGACTGAGAGCCACATGTAGTATTCTGCTTCACCAGTGTTTATTTCATGGGTGAGTATTCTGCATCACTGTCACTTGATTCGGTGCTCTCCTTCCTATACATACACTCCTCTTCACTATCATCACCCACACCACTCCAGTCACTATCCATTTCAGGAGTAAAGAGCTTTCACCATCTCCCTTGTTGTTTGGCAAGACCAGAGGTGGAGGTCACTGCTATGTCTTGTGTTGAACTGTAAATTCTTATATTCCTACTCATACTGTACCACCATTGCTGTCCTTCAAAATCAGAAAATGATCCTCCATTATCACCCTCCTTAATGTCACTGGTGTCTGGATTAAGGAGTATTTTCTAAATTTCAGTATGAGAAGAGTTGTGTGGGCCAGCCATTGTAAGCTTGTTTACTGGTTGATATTGTTCACAATGACCTGCACATACCCATTTGACTGGATTATTTTCTAGGAGTCATGAGGTAGCTAGTGACCTAAACAGCACATCTGAGGCCTAAAATGGTGGTACCTGGGAAATTTGAGGCTTAGAAAAATTGTGCATGCTAGTACATTGGACACAGTCATCACTTGGCGCACTAGTACGCAATGACACAGTTATAAAGGTTAAAGTTACTAGTGGTTGTTGCTTCCTCCTTTGCAAACCATTACTTTCAGCTACCACTCTATTTGCAAAGAATACTTTCTAGTGTCCTATGGCAACTTTTCTTCTTTAGATTATGGCTTCTTGTGCAAGTTGATGTGGCAAGGATGTCTTCATTGTCAATTCATTTTTTAACACACCGACCGTCTCTTACCAAAGTAGGGGGACTTGGAAAAAAAAATTAATGTGTATTTTCTCAGATTCCTGCTCGGTTGATGCTGGCCCTCTCACTGTTGAAGAAGGAATATGAACTTAGTAAACTTCAGGCATCTATTGCAAAGGTAAGATGAATGTTGACTTTTTAATACAAAGTTTGAAAAAGATAATTATTCTTCAGTACTTTATATTAACCACAAATTGTTAATTTGTTAGTCATAAATCTGTTGCATTTCAGCTACCTCACCTGGTTATCATCAAAGTCTTTACATTGACTCCACTTCTGATTCAAATTTGAAATTAATGTTACTTCACAAAAATATGATTTATAACCCATGGTAGTATAAATACAGTAGACCCTTGTTTAACATGGGAGATATAAGCAGTGATATACACATGGAACAAAGAAGACCAAAGGGCTTAGTTCCAAATCTTCATACTACCATAACAGTGAACTGGAGTGAAAGAAATGGATGGAAGTTAAACAGGTCCATTGAAAACCAAGGGAGCTTTAAGCACATTAAGAGAGCACTCTATCAATATCTGTTGGCCTAGACTTTTCGAACTGCTACCAGCATGTATCAGAAATGTTTCTGGAATCATTGTGGAGGTCCTTAGCAGGAAATTGGATCACTCCATCTTTGGTGTGCCAGACTAACAAGACTATGATGGATATGTGGGCCAGATCTGGTCTAGTTGACCAGGTAATCAGCAAGGAGGCCTGGCCCAGGGTCAGGCTGCATGAGTAGGAAAACTCCCAGAACAGGTCACAGGTAAATGAGATTGGGGCTGTAGCCCTGAAAGTTGGTGTGTAAAGTAAAATTGCATTAAGTACAGGTGTAATGTATGGAAAAAATGAGGTTACATTCTAAGCCGTATTAGTTCATTTCCTCCTGCCCCCCACAGATCTAAATGCTGTATACCTACATACAGCTATTTTAATCTAACTTTCACTCTCCTTAAAATCAGTTATGTTCAAATTGGTTGGGCAGTCATTCCTGTGGCAGCATTCTCTAGTTGTGTTATTTGGTCCCCACCACCTACTACTCATTGCTGTGTAAGCCACCTAGGTACAGCATCAACCAAATTTTTTAAGTTTAATAGACTTCACTGACTTTCTTGTGCTGACCTCTGAAGCTGTACTCTTTTTTACTATCAATAAACTTCAAAATTTATTTTTTAAATGTATGAATTCTCACCATCATAATGGGAAAGTGCTAAAAAGATAAGGCTTATACAGTGCCTGGGGAGTAGGAGTGGTAGGGGTTATTAGATTTGATCTGAGGAAGGGAAAGTAGCGCTTCAGATCCATGCCCTTCCCTAGCTTCAGGGCACCTTCCTTTAAGGGTTTTTAATATTTGCAAAATTATTTTTTACAACCCCATATTCCTATGTAAGTGTCACCACAATATACAGTGCTAATGTTCTCTCCTCTTTTTATTTTTGGATAAAATAAGCTGATGTATGGTATGAAAATATTCAGAGATATGTTTTATCGAGCTATCAGCCTGAGCATTTATGCACCATTTGTTGGTGATAGTTACGTCTCTGGGGTGAGATGGTTGCAAGTTCCAAACTGGTTAAGTGGGGAAAATCAAACATTTTTCATTTGTTACTCAAAATTATGTTCTGCGAATGTTTATTAAGCATGGGTGATGAATGTTGCAGCGAGGAGAAGGCTGGATGCAGTGGAGATGTCATGTCTGAGGGCAATGTGTGGTGTGAATATAATGCAGAGAATTCGTAGTTTGGAAGTTAGGAGGAGGTGCGGGATTACCAAAACTGTTGTCCAGAGGGCTGAGGAAGGGTTGTTGAGGTGGTTCGGACATGTAGAGTGAATGGAGCAAAACAGAGTGACTTTAAGAGTGTATCAGTCTGTAGTGGAAGGAAGGCGGGGTAGGGGTCGGCCTAGGAAAGGTTGGAGGGAGGGGGTAAAGGAGGTTTTGTGTGCGAGGGGCTTGGACTTCCAGCAGGCATGCGTGAGCGTGTTTGATAGGAGTAAATGGAGACAAATGGTTTTTAATACTTGACGTGCTGTTGGAGTGTGAGCAAAGTAACATTTATGATGGGATTCAGGGAAACCGGCAGGCCGGACTTGAGTCCTGGAGATGGGAAGTACAGTGCCTGCTCTCTGAAGGAGGGGTCTTAATGTTGCAGTTTAAAAACTGTAGTGTAAAGCACCCTTCTGGCAAGACAGTGATGGAGTAAATGATTGTGAAAGTTATTCTTTTTCGGGCCACCCTGCCTTGGTGGGAATGAGCCAGTGTGATAATATAAAAAAAAAAAAAAAGATATCAGAAACATGGCTGGAACAAGTGTAGAAGTCTTTAAGAGGATATTGGACAAATGTCTTCACCAGGTGCCAGATCAACCAGGCTGTGATGGATATGTGGGGCAGTGGGCCTCCAGCAGCAGCAGCCTGGTTGACCAGGCAAGCACTAGATGAGCCTGGCTCATGGCTGGGCTCCGAGAGTAGTGAAACTCTTGAAACTCATTGAAGGTATATCACTGAGAGGGCTAGATGTTGTCTTGCTGTGATATCACTGGTCCTGCTTATTATCATATGAGAGGGCTGGATGTTGGCTTGACTTTATTTCACTGGTCCTTCTTGTCATCATATCTTTTTTCTTTGCTGTTGTCTCATACATGTATGAGGAAAGTTAAATGAGTCCCTTAATATAAACATTTAAATGCAGTATTAACCCTTTGACTGTCGCGGTCGTATATGTACGTCATGGGAGATACCGTGTTTGACGTATCTATACGCATAAATTCTAGCGGCTTCAAATCGAGCGGGAGAGGGCTGGTAGGCCTACACGAGAGAGAATGGGTCTCAGTGGTCGGTGTGCACCCTGTGAAAAAAATCTGGGACTCAGCGGTGCATTGTGGGAATGCCATCTTGGTAGTCCATTTTCACCATGCCTCGCGGTAAGAAGTTCCTCACTCCTCGGCGGATTGGAGGTCTTTTGTTCCCAAGTGATGGCTCAAACAGTGATGATAGTGTCATTGAAAGTGAATTCCCTGGTTTTGAAGCGGGTGTGACCGAGAAAATTACCCAGGATAACATAATTAGTGATGAAAACCCAGATGACCCACAACCATCCACCTCTGGTGCTAGGCCGGCTCGTTCATATTCACCTGTACCAGGACGAAAGAGGAAACTATTTGCCCGTGTACAAGACTCAGATGTGAGCAGTGCAAGTGATAGTGATAGTGATTTCAAGGTTATTGAAAGCACTTCTAGTTGTGACAGTGAGGGTGAATATTCCCCAGTGAAACGGCAGTATGTACGACGTCGCATGCGGTCTGGTAGTGTGCCATATGCTCTTCCAAGAGGAAGGAGTACATCTCGAGCACATCCCGTGGCCCTACACCACGTCCTGATAGTGAAGATGACGATATTGTTACGATGGGTATAAATGATGTGAGTGAGGCAGCAGGCGGTGGTGGTGATAGTGACGGTGCCATGAGTCATGTGACACCAGCACGGGCCACGCTAGTGCCCGCGCTGCTGACTCTGCACAACTACAACCTGCTTCGGCTGACCCCACACTCTCACAACCACAACCTGCACAACCACAACGACATTACAATATCCAGAACGCACCAGCTGACCGCATCTGGGATTGGCATCAAGATGACGAGTTTTGTTCCCAATCCCCATGACTTTGATGGAGGACAAAGTGGAATACGGCCATCATGTACACTTGGGAACAATCCCCACTGAACTGGAATGCTTTCAGTTGTTCTTCGATGAACCCCTGATGGACATTATTGTCAGGGAAAGCAATACATACTATGAGTACACCATGGCAAACACTATGCTTTCACCAAGATCACGCCTACACCAGTGGAAGGACACAACGTGGCAGAGATGTATCTGTTCTTTGCCACAATAATGCTTATGCCACATGTGTATAAGCATAGTGTCAGCACATACTGGACGACAGACCGCCTGATTTCAACCCTGCTTTCAGTGACATTATACCAGTGAATAGATTTGTGTTACTGTTACGTATGTTACACTTTTCAGACAAAACCAGGCCTGACAGAAGCGACAGGTTATATAAGATCAGACGTGTGTTTATGTACCTGAAACAAAAGTGCTGTATGTATTTTATCCCTTCAGGAAGCTTGTTATTGACGAGTCTTTGATTTTGTTCAAAGGAAGACTCTCATTCAAGCAGTATATACCAAGCAAGAGGAAACGCTTTGGTATAAAGTTATTTGTTCTGTGTGATTGCAAAACTGGTCTGGTTTTGGATATAATTGTGTACACTGGCGGTAAAACAATGGAAGATACCAGGAAGTTACTGGGTATCTCTGGTGATGTGGTTAGAACAATGATGGAGCCATATCTTGGTAAGGGAATATTTTATATACTGACAACTGGTACACAAGCCCTATACTCAGTGATTTCTTGCGAGTGAACATGACAGATGTGTGTGGCACAGTGCGTAGAAGTCGTAAACATATGCCTAGGTTCGAAGCTGGCAGTCGTAGAGGTGAAGTGCAGGTGTTTGCTGCCAATGACATCATGGCATTTCGGTGGCATGACAAACGTGATGTCACACTGCTGACATCAGTTCACCGACACGAAATGGTAGAGACTGGCAAGCAGAATAGAGAGACCAATGAACCTATTGTAAAACCTGCAGCTGTGATGGATTACAACCTCATATGCGCTTAGTGGACAAATGTGACATGCAGATTGGGTTTGCTGACTGTGTTCGCAAGAGTTATAAGTGGTACATAAAACTGTTTTTCCATCTTCTTGACATTTCCATGCTGAATGCTTATAATATGTATAAGTTGAAGACCAAGAACAAACCCAAATATGGTGAATTTTGTTTGTCAGTCATCAGACAAATAATATTCAAGTACCAAGAAACAACACCTGCAATAGACCAGCGCCCACGAAATTATCAACACATGTCCTCTCGTCTGAGGCCTGGTGATCACTACCCCATACCACTGCCTGCTACTACTGCCAAGAAAAAATGCTCAGAAGAGGTGTTTTGTCTGTGGACATACCACAAAACGCCAACAAAAACGCAGAGACACTCGTTTTATGTGTGAGGAGTGTAAGACACCATTGTGCTTATACCCATGTTTCAAAGAATTCCACAAGCTGCAGCACTTCTAATAAAGTGTCCAGTGATTGTACATATGTATATATATTATAAAGCAATCGTAATAAACATTTGTTTACATTGTTTGTTTGTGTAAACAAGTTTTAGCAACATTATAATGATACGAGTGTTTTTGCTATAATTGTGTTACATTCAACGAGTGTATATTTGAACATTGCACAATAATTTGGTCTCACAGGCCACAAAAGTTATGTGAAAAAATAAAATAGTGAAAAAAACAAGAAACCATCGAATACAAGTAAATAAAAGTTTACCGGGTGAGCGGCAGTTGCCGCTGTTGCCGCCAGCAGATCAATTTCAGCAAACTTCAGGACTCTATATCTCGGTAAGTACTGATGGGAAAAAATTTTTTTTGGGACTAAAACAATCAGAAAAATAATCTTAACATTTTCATAAGAAAAAATAATTTTTTTTTTTCGAATATTTTGCGACACCAGGAGCAACTTCAGGATTGGGCCCTTCGACAGTCAAAGGGTTAAATTGTTATACCTAGTGAGCAAACTTACACTAAGGAGCATTTTACAGACAATTGGTTTGGAATTGGGGAAGCATTACTTTCTTATAAAACTGGGATGAGTAAACATGGTTGATGCCTTCATGTTCTCCCTGTCAAACAGGAGAAGCAGCAGTTCATCAGCACCTATAACACAATTTGATACACTGTGGTCATAGGAGCAAAGCCCTTGTAAATTTGAATGCATCTGCATTAATACCCTCATTCTTGCAGTTCTTATTTTTTGTTCTTTGGGAGTAATTTGTCTATTAAGTGTTTGTAAAGGGTACACAAGGTGTCACTGCACTTTCAAATTAAAAGGAAACCAATTCCTGCAGATGAATTTTGTATTTATGTTTTTATCTTTACAGTTTCTTTATTTGTGTTACATTTATAATTAGAGTAATTAATTCTTAGGTCGCCGGGTCACCATCTGGAGAAGACCCGGGCCGGAAGTACCGGCAAATCTTTAATGAATGAATGAATTCTTAGGATTTTCTGAAACAGGTCATTTTGTCTTTGCACTTTCCTTGAATGGCTGACTACCTTTGCCTAACTCAAGGTAGCCACTAAATTCTTTGGCAATGAATTGCAATTTCAAGGTAGGGATTTGGCAAATTACAATTTGCTGTCTTTGGAATTTCAGGAGGTGGAGGAAAAGGTACGGTCACAACACAGGAAGTACATGTTACAAGAACAACTAAAAGTAATCAAGAAGGAACTGGGCATAGAGAAGGAGGATAAGGATGCGATTGAGGAGAAGTTTCGTGCAAGATTAAAGGTAAATAGCATTGTGGCACTGTAACCCTTCAACTATCCAAATGTAGATCTATGTTTTCTCCCATAGCGCTCCAACCTTGATTTTCTCCATTTGAAAGCATGTACAGTGGACACCGAGTTTCGTCAGTCACGACTTTCATTAAATCCAACTTTCAGCAACTCTTTTTTGGCAAAATATAGCTTTGTGTTTTGTGATTCGCCTCGTGATTCGGCGACTGTCTGGTACGCATCTGCATGGCATCCCAGCATCGGCGCACACACAAAGCCAGTCTCCCGCACTATTCACACTCAGTGTGCCATTGTTTATCAGTGAGTGATCATCACCCCATGGGTTCATACGATACATTTCATAATAATCCACTGTTTTTTGTGCTTGCAGCTGCTAAATAAGTCACCATGGGCCCAAAGAAAGCTAGTGCCAGCCCTTTGGTAAAGAAAGTGAGGAACATGATCAAATTCAAGAAAGAAATCATTTATTTATTTGTGTATTTATTTATTTATTTATTAATTTGAACATGATACATTGAAGTACAAGGAAATACAGTGGTTAAGTGTAACATGCCAAAGCCCCTTGTATGCAGAGCATTATGGACAGGCTTAAAATTAACTTATGAATAACTAAGCAATGATATATTCAGTGGTAAACATGGTTGTAAACAGTTAACAGTTAAGCACAAATAAGTATTTCCAAGACAGGTCATATGGTCATTTACTGTGTTGCTGAGCATTCAGTAGAATGGAGTATTCTATTAGGTAATGTAATTAAAAATAACAAAGTTTCATTGGGTCACAGGTTAAACATTTATGAGATATAATTATTCAGTATTTATTTAGTTGTGGGTGAGTAAGTGATTTTTAAGAAGAGACTTGAATTTATAAACAGACAGTGTTTCTTTTATATTCACAGGTAATGAAATTTCAGATTTTTGGGCCTTTTATATGCATTGAGTTTTTGCTTAGTGTGAGATGGACACGAGGAACATCAAAAAGTGATCTGTGCCTTGTGTTATGGTCATGTGTTCTGTTGAGGTTGGTAAGGAGACGTTTGAGGGGAGGGTTTATGTCCGAGTTGAGTGTTCTATGTATGTAGTAGGTACAATAATAAGTATAGATGTTTTGTATGGTGAGTAGGTTTAGAGTTTTGAATATTGGTGGAGTGTGCTGCCTGTAGTGGGAATTTGTTATTATTCTGACTGCAGCCTTTTGGGTAATTAATAGTCTGAGATGGTTTATTGTTGTTGAGCCCCATGCATAAATTCCATAGGTGAAATAGGGGTAAATAAGTGAGTGATATAGGGCCAGGAGGGCTGACTGTGGAACATAGTACCGTATCTTCGATAGTATGCCTACGGTCTTGGAAATTTTCTTGGAAATTTGTTGTATATGTGTTTGAAATTTGAGTCTATTATCAATGTGGATTCCTAAGAATTTTCCCTCTGTGAGCTTTGTGATAGGTGATCCGTTTATCATTATGTTAAGAGGGACATCTGTAGCTCTGTTACCAAACTGAATGAAGTAGGTTTTGTCAGTGTTGTGAGTAAGTTTGTTAGTCCTCATCCAGGTAGATATTTTCTGTAATTCGGTATTCACAGTATTGGCTAGCATGACTGGGCTCGGGTGAGAGTAGACGTATGCAGTGCCATCTGCAGATAGTGTGGGTTTGAGTAGTTGCTATGCATTTGGTAGGTCATTTATGTAAACGAGAAAGAGAAGAGGGCCAAGGGCACTTCCCTGTGGGATACCAACTGTAATTGGCTGTGCGGAGGAGTTTGCTCCATTTGTGTACACATATTGGCTTCTGTTGTCGAGGTATGACTTTAGGTAGTTGAGGGAATGCTGTCTTATACCATAGTGCGACAATTTTATGTGGAGCAAGTTGTGGTCAGCTGTATCAAAAGCTTTACGTAAATCAATGAAGATTCCCAGTGGGACTTCTTTTTTCTCTAGTGCAGTGTATATTTGTTCTAGCATGTGTATAACAGCATCATTCGTATTTTTATTAGGCCTGAACCCAAACTGACAGGGGTTGAGTATGTTGTGGGAGATGAGATAGGAATAGATTTGCTTATGAATTAATTTTTCAAAGATTTTAGAGGGTATAAGTTGGATATTGGCCTATTAGAGTGGAGTTCGTGTTACAGAGCTTGCCAGAATGTATGACCTACCCCATTCAACCATCACTTCGATCGTGTCGAAGGGAAAGGAAATAAAGTGTGCTGTTGTTGCAAAAGGGGGTAGATATGCTGACAAAAAAGAGATTGCAAACACTCAAAGAAGTGGAGAGGTTATTGTTGGTGTGGATTACCCTAAAACAGTTGGCAGGAGATAGTATTATGCAGTCGATAATATGTGAAAAGGCAAGACAGTTGCATGATGATCTCGTAAAGAAAATGCCTGCAACGAATGGTGATGTTTGTGATTTTAAGGCCAGCAAAGGCTGGTTTGAAAGATTTAAGAAGCGTAGTGGCATACACAGTGTGGTAAGGCATGGTGAGGCTGCCAGTTCAGACAAATGGGCGGCTGAGAAGTTTGTACAGGAGATTAAGGGGTATGTAGACACTGAAAAATTCAAACCACAACAAGTGTTCATTTGTGACGAAACATGCCTCTTTTGGAGGAAAATGCCAAAGAGGACCTACAAAATGCAGGAGGAAATGGCACTCCCAGGACACAAGCCTATGAAAGACAGGCTAACTCTCATGTTTTGTAGTAATGCTAATGAGGATTGCAAAGTGAAGCCTTTACTGGTCTATCACTCTGAAAATCCCAGAGTGTTCAAGAAAAACAGTGTCACCAAGGCTAATTTGTGTGTGATGTGGAAGGCTAACAGTAAGGCATGGGTCACAAGGGAAACTTGCCTTGATTGGTTCAATGAAGTGTTTGAGCCCAATGTGAAGAAATACCTCCTGGAAAATAAATTGGAACTCAAGTGCCTCCTGGTAATGGACAATGCTCCTGCTCATCCTCCAGACTTGGAAGAGCAAATGGTGCAGGAGTTTCATTTCATTACAGTGAATTTCTTGCCCCCCTAATACAACTCTCCTCCAACCCATGGACCAGCAGGTCATTTCGAATTTCAAAAAACTGTACACCAAAGCAGTGTTTCAACAGTGCTTTGAAGTGACCTCAGACACTGAATTTACCCTAAGAGAGTTCTGGAAAGATCACTTCAGTATCCTCAGTTGCATAAACCTTATAGGTAAGGCTTGGGAGCGAGTGACTTCTAGGACTTTGAACTCTGCTTGGAGAAAATTGTGGCCAGAATGTGTATGAGAGGGATTTTGAAGGATTTGGGGCTGACCCTGAGGAGCCTGTGCCAGTTGTGGAAAGTATTGTGTCACTGGGGAATTCCATGGGGTTGGATGTGAGTTTGGAGGATGTGGAAGAGTTGGTGGAGGACCACAATGAAGAGCTAACCACTACAGAGTTGCAAGAGCTTCATCTGCAACAGCAACAGACCACAGCTCAGGAAATTGCTTCAGAGGAGGAGAAAGAGAGATGGAGGAAGGTGCCTTCTTCAAAGATTAAGGACATTTGTGCAAAGTGGACTGAAGTGCAAACATTTATGGATGAACTTCACCCTGACAAAGCTGTTGCAGGCCATGTTGGCAACATGTACAATGACAGTGTTGTGTCCCATTTTAGGGAAATTTTAAAGAAACGCGAGAAACAGAGCTCTCTGGACAGATGTTTTGTGCGACAGTGGTCCAGTGACTCTCAATTTGGTCCCAGTGGCATTATAAAACAGGGAAGGGAAGTAACCCCAGATAAGGACTTGGAAGGGGATTCCCCTTCCAGACAATAGTGTACCTTCATCCTCTCCCCTCCTCCCGTCTTCCATCCACCCAGAAGTCTTCAGTAAAGGTTAGTGTAATGTTATTATTATTTTATATATGCATGTACTTGATTTCTCATCGTTTTCTGTGTGTAAATCTTTATTTAATTTGAAAAAAAATATTTTTTTTTAATATTTTTGAGTGGAATGGATTAATTGGATTTCCATTATTTCTTATAGGAAAAATGATTTTGCCATTTGTGAATTTTGTCTTTTGGCAGACTCTCTGGAATGGATTAATCATAAAACTCGGGGGTCCACAGTAAAAAAATATAGATCTACGTTAGGAGCACTTCGCGAGTGAATGTAGATCTACGTTTGGACAGTTAGCAGGTTAATAATCATTTTTGCATTGTTGTTACTGATGAATAAATTGTTTTACTTATATTTTAGTACCCTATCCAACCTATTTGACAGGGAGGATTGGTCAGGACTGTGGATGTTGCAAAATGTATGGAATAGATGGCAGGTTGAAAGTAGTGTTAAGATTTTTTGCAGATAATGAGACTCAGTTATAGGTAGTAGTAGGCTGGTAGACAGGAACCTCCCAGGGAGGTACTATCATCCTGCCAAGTGAGTGTAAAACGAAAACTTGTAATTGTTTTACATGATGGTAGGATTGCTGGTGTCTTTTTTCTGTGTCATAAACATGCAAGATTTCAGGTATGTCTTGCTACTTCTACTTACATTTAGGTCACACTATACATGCATGTACAGTGGAACCCCGAATATTGGCCGCTGCTGGTATTGGCTGAATTGTATTTAGGCCGGTTTTTGGGCCAAAATTTTGCTCCATGTTTCGGCCGGTGCCTCGCAAATTGGCTGTACAGTGGACCCCCGACATTTGATGGCATTGACATTCGATAAATGCGACATTTGATGTATTTTAACACAAAAATTTTGCCTCGACATTCGATGGAAAACCCGACATTCGATATGGTTTATACGAGACGTGTCCACGTGTGGCCTGAACTGCCCCGTGGTATGCCAGTGTTTACAAGCCAGCCAGTGTGCGCGCATCTAAGGATACATTCGGTACATTCTATATTATCCATATTATCACTGTTTTTGGTGCTTGTTTCTGCAAAATAAGTCACCATGGGCCCCAAGAAAGCTTTTAGTGCCAACCCTGTGGTAAAAAGGGTGAGAATTAGTATGGAAATTAA